GAAACGCATTAGAAAGGGGAAAGGAGATTGCCTCCGCTCAATGGGACAGTGCATATGGTATAAATCACTGATTTTGCAGAGTGGAGCCAAACTAGGTGAGACTTGCCAAGAGGCATGTCAGTGAGGGGCTGCCAATTTCTTGGCATTCTCCACCTTCTGCTCATCCTGCCCAAGTCCCTCTATGAGTACACTTACGGAAGCTGGGAGGGAAGGAGCTGAGAGCTGGAGGATTCTATGGGACTCAGCTACTTCTTTTGGTCAATGCACTTACATACAAAGGGATGAAGTTCGAGAGACTGGTGTGATAGGTCAGCACACTTTGTGTCATGCAGTGGAATTTAGTGTGAGAGAGAAATGTCAATGGAGCTCACTACATCTGTTTTGCTGGTTTATGCTGATTTAGAATGGCTGGATTAATTCATTTGTTTGAATATAAACAACAGGTAAATTAAGATAAGACTGATCACATTTTAGCCCCTGCTGAACAGAAGGAAGGTAAATCCTCCATCTCAGGGACAGCCATTTAGCCTCTTATTAAAGCAAACAGAATGTACTTTAAGGAGATGAGTAAAGTCCCTCCTGATCTGAAATGAGATTGACATACTCGGTGGTTTGACTGTAAATCCTGATTTGTAGGGCTGGGACATGAATTCATGGCATCAAATGTCAGGGGCCAGTGCAGTACTGCAGAACTTCGCTGAGCCAACATGCCAGATCAATTAGAGATGCCATTTGTAATTAATTAGGAAACTCGTTGCAAACCTTTTTGAGTTTATTACCATTTACCTGTTTAGAACTTCGTTATAAAGTAATTATTTTTGTTCAGTATGTGAAATGATGCTTTCAGTGGCTAAAATCACATCTTTTGGTAAAAGCAAAGTATATGCAGCCCATGCCACATAAGTGGCTCCCTCAACCGCAACCATATTCCTGTGGTCACCTGATAAATCCTTCATATTTTATTGTATATATTTAACATGACTGAAATATATTAGGCCTCTCATTTACAAAGAAAAAACAGGAGCAGAAGATACCTCATATGTGCAATGTGACTGGGCTTTCAATGCCATAAGTACTCTATCTTTTGCATTTTCAGACACTTAAAAATTGTTATTGAAGCCTTAATGTACTTTTTGCAAAGCATGGAAGCTTGTGTTTAAATTCAATGGGCTGTAAGCACATGGTTAAGTACTTTGCTGAATCCAATGCCCAGTATTGTCTATATATCGAGGGAGAGGGATTATTTTAATATAGTCTACATAGGGAGATAGGTACCATTTCTCTTGCATCTCTTTTCAAAAATCTCCTTCTACCTATAGCAGTTTTTCTCCTGTTTTATGGGTGCAGATCACATTAATATCAAGGTACTTGTGTTTATGGATGGGAGAAGATACCCTTAACACTGGTTTTCTGTCCAGATTCAGAGGCAAAGCACCTACACCCGAACATTTACAAGATAGTACACTATAGATCCCAAGCTTATCTGGGGGACACCATGAACAGCTCTATCTTTAGAAAGATTTTAATGTTTTTATTAATTTTGATGGATAATATCAGTGTTTATTTTTAAGCATTTGTTTTTAATTTTTTATCGATTTTAAATTTTCATAGTTGTGAGAAATTATGGGGGGAGGATCAGACAGATAATGACAGTTGACATGGAAATTCAAATAGCTAAAGCTTTATAAACCATTAAAACACAAATTGTCAACATCACGGGTCAAAAGAGGCAAAGTAAATATCCTTAAATCAACAAATCAAACCAACTTTACTATTCATTCACTAGTTAATTTGTAACAAGCCTAATTCAAATATCACTGGATTTTTGACTCTAAGAAGTTTTCAGACAGCATTTTTCTTTCATTGCCAAGCTGCACCTTTCAATTATTATTGATGGAAATATATTTTCGACAGTTTATGTGTATGTGGGTGGTGAAATCAATGTTTACCGATATTTACCAATAAAAATCTAAGCCTTCCACGGTTACTTTTAAGTGACAATTTGAGGTGATATTTTCGTGCTGCATTTTTCAACACTGAAAAAAATTCCTTTCTGACTATAAAAGAAAGACTGTTTTAAAAAAGATATAAATGTATAAAATATATATAAGCATTAGTCAAATTAAATTAATGCTTCCAATATAGTTATAAGCTTGCTCATATGCATCAGCCATTTATGAAATTGTAGTTTATCAAGTAAGAATATTGCAGTTATATATTAACAAACTGTCTGCTGGCCACTCTGATATCTTATTACTCTATGCACCAGGGTAGCATTTTTAGGATAAAGTCAACCTTAGTGAAATACATCATGTTTCACTAATGTATCCTCAAATGCCTGATAAAAGGCCTTGCCCCCAACAACATATGAATATTTAAATTATTGTTAATTATTTATAGTATATTTTTATTAACACTGACTGTAGCATGGCGAAATATCAACTAAAGCTTATTATGCATCAAGGTTGAATGTACATCTCATACGCCATTAATGCTCTTGAACGGTAGGTAATGCTGGAATTTCAGTGTTTGCATCCTTTATTGATTTCCGACAGAGAGAGGAAATGCATTGGAATGAGGCTTGTGTTCATTTGATTTGATTGATTATTTTGGAGATAGGATTTTCTAGACTAATGTGCATCCATGTCTTAGAATCTATTTCTAATAGAGATATGCAGAAAACAAACTCAGACCAGTTTAGCACCACTGCAAACCTCAGTGGTTCTATGGGCATTTAATATGTGCTGGCAGATATTCTAACCAGATAGATTTAGAGCTGTCAGATCTTCCAGCCTACCTCACTGGGGCCAGTGAAGGATCTTCCAGATGATCTTGCTGGGCCAGTGAAGGATATTTTCAGGCCGTTGACCTGAAAGTCTAAAGCAGTGGGTCTTCCAACCCCTCGCTGGGTGACTGTTACACAATACTTTCATGAAATGCAGACTAAATTCTTCCCTGGTTTAATTTCATCCCATTAATGCTAGTTTTACCCCCCTGTGCATGATACTAACTAGCTCTTCTCCTTCATTGATGTTCACGCATTTCATGTATTTGCAGACTCTTATCATGAGCCTCCTTAGGCGCCTCTTAGCCAAGCTGAACGTATTCAGCCCCTTTAATCTTTCTGCCTAACTGTCCTGCAAGTCCACTTATCATTTCTGTTGTTCTTCTTTGAACTCCCTCCACCTTGTCAATATCTCTGTAGCAGCTACTGTGGGGATGAGAGTTCTATAAATTCCTAGATAGACGACAGACCTGTTTCTGGCAACATGTCGCACAGAACGGAATTCAGCATTCCATCTGAGATAACAGTAGAGTCCTATAAAAAGGGACTTTCATCTCCATATTCTGTGACATGAGGTGATGTCTTTGCATAGGTAGCCCAAGATGACATTAGCCTTTTTTGTAGCCATATCTCATTTCAAACTCGTATCTAATCTGCTGGCTGCTGTCTCGGCTAGAACTCTTTCAGCATCACAGCTTCCCAGGATCTTCTCTCTCACCAAGTGTCTAAGATTTGGATTATTTTTCCTCAGAGGTATTAGCATATATTTTCCATATATGACTATGATGATGATGATAAATGGGAGAAGCAGAGAGGGAAAAAGAGAAAAGATGCAGAGAAGTAAGGGCAAAGTGAGTCAAACAGAAAGTGATACAAAGAAAAGACTGACAGGAAGACAATATGGAAAAATGAAAATGGAGGTAAATAATCAGAATAAATTAATTAACCAGAGCACAGATCAAACAGACCGGAATAGCAAAGCAGCAACGCAGAGAACTAAAAGGAGCCAAGAATAAGTTAAAATGCAATATGTATTTTCTAAATAAGATATTACATAGTTGAACTGTGAATGTTAATTTTATTTGACTTGTTAGATATGGCCTTTACCACAGCATTCGACCTGTGGGTCTGTAAGGGCTGTGGCAAATGATTGTAAAAAGCACCCACTGTTTTCCTTTCATCAATGTAATTTACTGTTGTTAATTATCATACAGTAATTTTCAGTTTTAGACCTAAAAGCACTTTTACTGTCGATGATTCAGGATGGTTATCCTTCTATTACAGAGGGGAAACTGAGGCATGAGCAGTTTTGTGACTTGCCCAAAGGTCACAGAAAGAGTCACTGGCATAACTGGGACTGGAACGTTTGTCTCCTGCTTTCCTGCCCCAGGCTCAATATGCAAAACTGCAGCTGCCTCCCACTCTAAGGCCTTGTCTACACTACCAAGTTTTGTCGCCAAAAACTGCCTTTTGTTGTCCAAACAGTGAAAGCATACACACTGCGATGTGACTTTTGTCAGGAAAACTGCCCAGTTTTGGTGACTAAATACATCCACCCCGATGAGAGACTGGCATCTTTTTCCTCTGCTTTTTTCCGACAAACTCCCAGTGTAGACACTACGCTTCATTTCATTGCTTTAATTGGCCTCCAGGAGGTGTCCCACAATGCCCATCCTGACCGCTCTGGTCAGCAGTTTGAACTCCACTGCCCTGCAGCCAGGGGAAAAAGCCATCTTCCCCTCCCCCTTAGAAGCCCCGGGAATTTTTGAAATTCCATTTCCTGCTGGTTCCACATGGAGAGGTCTCTTTGCATCTTCCTGGTGACCATGGTGGGTCATCGCAGCAAACGCTCTCCCACTTGGACCACTGTGGAGCTGTTGCATCTGATCAGTATATGGGGAGAGGAGGCTGTTCAGTCTCAGCTGCGCTTGAGCCATAGGAATTGGGATACCTACAGACACATTTCTCGAGGCTTGTGCAAAAAGGGCTATGATTGGGACACACTGCAGTGCAGAGAGAAGATAAAGGAGCCAAGGCAGGGGTACCATAAGGCAAGGGAGGCAAACCGTTGCTCAAGTGCTTCACCTAACTCCTGCCGGTTCTGTAAGGAGCTGGACGCTATCCTCGGGGCGACCCCACCTCCTCTGCCAAGATCCCCGTGGATACTTTGGAGGGAACGGCGGCGGCAGAAAGAGGACCTAACCCAGAGGACGAACTTACTGATGAAGAGGTGGAGTTAGATGAGGATATGCAGCTCCCAGCGGGGTCACTCGATGGGGCAGGCAGCCAGGAACTGTTCTCCACTCCAGAGGTGTCTAGCCAATCTCAGCAGTCGTTCTCTGGGGAGCAAGAAGCAGGAGATGAGACACCTGGTAAGTGACTGTGGCCTGAGTAGTGTGGAGGTGGGTTCAGGGTATAGAAATGTGGGAGGCTGGATGTGTTTCTGTGAGCTGGTCGTTTTCCTGTGTAGCTAATCGGTACGGTGGAACAGGGTGTTGATACATGCCAAGTTCTCATGGGAATCCTCCAGAGAGATCTCCAGGAAAGTTTCCCGGAGGTACTCGGCCATGGTCTGCTGAAGGTTCCGTGGCAGAACAGCTTTGTTCCTTCCCCCATTGTAGGAAACTTTCCCGCTTCATTCGGCAATCACTTGTGCACGGACCAAAGGAGCACATAGGCGAGCAGTATAGGGAGCAGGGCAGATGCCACAAGTATGTAGTAGATATACCCTCATTTCCCTGCTTATCCTTTGCAGTGAGATGGCTGATAGAATGACCCCTGCCTGTGGAAAAGTGGGAGAATTTTAGAATTTTTTCCACAGAATGCTGCACCATGAGCCTTGCAGAGAGTGTGTGCTCTTTTCCCCATGTGGACCAGCCCCTCCTCTCCCCCTGCCCCACCAACACTCACCATGCTTTGGCTGTTCACAGAGATGTGTGCCTGGAAGAAAGTGATGGCAATGTTGCAAAAGGTGAATTTAACTGAAATGTTTCAGTGCTGTGCATGAATTTAACAGTCCTGCTTCTGAGGAACAGCCGTGTTAGTCTGTATTCGCAAAAAGAAAAGGAGTACTTGTGGCACCTTAGAGACTAACCAATTTATTTGAGCATGAGCTTTCGTGAGCTACAGCTCACTTCATCAGATGTTTACCGTGGAAACTGCAGCAGACTTTATATACACACAGAGAATATGAAACAATACCTCCTCCCACCCCACTGTCCTGCTGGTAATAGCTTATCTAAAGTGATCAACAGGTGGGCCATTTCCAGCACAAATCCAGGTTTTCTCACCCTCCACCCCCCCACACAAATTCACTCTCCTGCTGGTGCTAGCCCATCCAAAGTGACAACTCTTTACATAATCAAGTCGGGCTATTTCCTGCATAGATCCAGGTTTTCTCACATCCCCCCCACCCCCATACACACACAAACTCACTCTCCTGCTGGTAATAGCTCATCTAAACTGACCACTCTCCAAGTTTAAATCCAAGTTAAACCAGAACATCTGGGGGGGGGGGGTAGGAAAAAACAAGAGGAAACAGGCTACCTTGCATAATGACTTAGCCACTCCCAGTCTCTATTTAAGCCTAAATTAATAGTATCCAATTTGCAAATGAATTCCAATTCAGCAGTTTCTCGCTGGAGTCTGGATTTGAAGTTTTTTTGTTTTAAGATAGCGACCTTCATGTCTGTGATTGCGTGACCAGAGAGATTGAAGTGTTCTCCGACTGGTTTATGAATGTTATAATTCTTGACATCTGATTTGTGTCCATTTATTCTTTTACGTAGAGACTGTCCAGTTTGACCAATGTACATGGCAGAGGGGCATTGCTGGCACATGATGGCATATATCACATTGGTGGATGTGCAGGTGAACGAGCCTCTGATAGTGTGGCTGATGTTATTAGGCCCTGTGATGGTGTCCCCTGAATAGATATGTGGGCACAATTGGCAACGGGCTTTGTTGCAAGGATAAGTTCCTGGGTTAGTGGTTCTGTTGTGTGGTATGTGGTCCTGCTTCTGTGCATTTTCCCTTGTGCTTCACCAGATGTGGCCTTGAGGAACACCCCATGCACCCCGGCCGAGTGTCTCTGCCCGTTAAGAAAGGGCCCAAGACACAGCAAAGAGAACATGTTCCAGGAGGTACTGCAGAGCTCCAATGCAGAAAGAAGGGAATGCAAGGAGTGCTGGGAAGCTGAATGGCAGGACAGAAAAGAGAATCATGAGTTTAAGGACGTAACTGAGCGGATGATTAAAGGAATGGAGGAGCAAATGCAAATGCTGAAGTCGTTAATGGTGCTGCCGATGGAGCAGATCCAAGCTCGCCCTCCCCTGCAGCACATTCAGAACTCTTTCCCCTGCCCCCCAACTCCACCCACACATTCCTTTCCACCTTCCGGCACGTCTCGGTTTCCCCTTCACTCCACCCACTCAGACAATTTTCACTATGAGAGCTGGACCTACATACAGTTGTGAAAGTCTGCCCTTCCCTGGTTCCTCCTTTCCAGGAGGCACCTGTGTGTGTGTTCGTGCTGTTCCTTGTGCAATAAAAGCAAAGTTTTATAAAGTCAAATCACCTCAATTTTTTTCTATTAATTGAGATTGCAGGCACCACCAATACATGCACAGGCATCGTTATCATTGTTTTACAGGAATATAAGGCCCCAAATGACACCGTTGCATCCTAGGGAAACTACATGTAATATAAGACTGAAGCACCTTTGACAGAGATACACATTACTGGTCCGCATTGTCCAAGTGCTGCCTCAAAGCCTCCCTGATTCCAATCGCCCCCCTCTGGGCTCCTCTGACAGTCCTGGGATCTGGCTCTTCAAAATCAGCGACCAAGCAGCTTGCCTCAGCACTCCATCGCCCTTAGCTTCACAGAGATTATGCAATGTACAGCACGCGGCTATGACCATGGGAATATTCTCCTCATTAAGGTCTAACCTTCCAGAAAGGCACTGACAGCGGGCCTTTAATCTGCCAAAGGCACATTCAACTCTCATCCGGCACCTACTCAGCCTGTTGGTGAATCGCTCCTTACTGCTGTCCAGGTGTCCCATGAAAGGTTTCATGAGCCATGGCTGTAAGGGGTATGCCGGGTCTCCCAGGATCACTATGGGCATTTCAACATCCCCCACTGTAATCTTCTGATTTGGAAAGTCCCCGCTTGTAGCTTTTTGTACAGGCCTGTGTTCCTGAAGATGCATGCACCTTTCCGGACTACCCCGCGTTGATGTCAGTGAAACGCCCACGGAGATCCACAAGCGTCTGCAACACTATGGAGAAGTATCCCTCCCTATTGATGTACTTTGCCACAAGGTGGTCTGATGCCAAAATTGGAATATATATGCCATCTGTCACCCCTCCACAGTTAGGGAAACCCGTTTCTGCAAAGCTGACCACTATATCACGCACATTTCCTGGCATCACAGCCCTTCGTAGCAGGATGCGATTAATGGCCCTACACACTTGCATTAATGCAGCACCACTCCACTCCAAATTGATTCGCGACTGACCAGTAGCAATCTGGAGTCCCCAGCTTCCACACAGCGATTGCCACACACTTCTCTACCAAGAGGACAGCTCTCATTCTGGTGTCCTTGTCCTTGTGCCGCAGGTCTGGAGCGACCTCCACACACAGTTCCAGGAAAGTGGCTTTCGGCATCTGAAAGTCCTGTAGCCACTGCTCTTCATCCCACACGTGCATGACAATACAATCCCACCATTCAGTGCTTGTTTCCTGAGCCCAAAAGTGAAGGTCTACCCTATGCAGTTGCTCTGTGAATGCCAAAAGCAATCTAAAGTTGCTCCTATCCATGTCACGCAATTAGGAACTTGATGATTAACTGCACTGCCATCCAAGATGTCTTCATGACAGTTAACAGAGCACAGGAGAGCAGTGCGGGATCCATCCCTTCTCACAAAGATGTTGGGGTTCACAGCAAAGAAGGGCCATTGCAAAAATGTCGCAAAAGAAAGCTGGAAGCCCATGGAGTGGTGGGACAGAAAGCAATGCATCACGGGACATTTAGCCTGGTCCCAAGATGCACCACGATCCACTCTGCCTTCCCACAACACCTACCTACAGAAGGTGTTGAACTGGACTGTGGGATAGGTACCCACAGTGCATTGCTCACACTGTCGATGATGGTGCCCCAACTGTGGACGCAATCAGCCAACAGCGAGAGCAAGCGTGAACATGAGATTCCGCTTTCTATTATGTTGACTTTTGGGTGTCAAGATCACTTTTGTCGACAAAAATGGGTATTGTGGACATGGCCTACATTTCTACATTCCTGCTATACCTGGCCAATTGGAGTCCACTCTCAAACTTTTTCATAGGATGAATCACATCTTAATATAAAGATTGGTCGCACTTTGATAAGATCCCCTCCCATTGACTGTCACACATGCCACCTCCCCTCCCATTTGCTGTCTTATAACATCCCTGTGGCAAATGTTTTCATAGAAAATTCATATCAAGAAAGTGTTCAATTTGTTTTGTCTCTTCGAATGTGACTTTTCAGGAGCAGAGCCATTACTCTGTCACCAGCCAGCTCTCTGCAGACACCAAGGGTCCACAGACCATAGTTTGGAAATCTGGTTTAGATAAGAGAATAGTTGGGAGCAGGGGAGACTGTGGCTAGCTCCAAGAAGGCAGTATAAGTCAAGGTATCAGCAGAGGGGAATGAGCTGCCCACATTCAAAGAGCTATGGTACAGTGTGATACTGCTCCAGGCATTCTCACTAGTGCCAAGAACTTAATGTGATTTTCGTATTATATGTGTCTATTCCTGGGGGAAAGTGACAGAGAGATCATTAAATAAAAACAAAATATAAAAAGCTTCTTATGGACTCCAGATACATACTGTACATAGAGCACATAGGAGATGATGAATGGCTTAGTATTTATAGGGTGAGGATCTATGAAGTAGAGCGCCTTCATTTGCCCCTTATGACCACAGACATGTGCTCTCTCCTTGCTAAGGAGGGTCAGGTGAGTGTCGTAGACTGTGCTCGGAAGGGATGTAACCTGTGTCACAGCTGCCAGCCACTCCGGCGTGAAAAGGTCAGCTCCCCAGACGCAGCTGGCCATGGCACTACTTAAGTGCCACTCCAGGGCACTGGGAACAACGGAATAATAGGTTTGCACCCAGCCCCACAGAACTTGCCAGTTGTTGTCATAGGCCATCGGGAAAAGCATCTTAGAACAAATGGGCTTGTGTCTGTATCAGAACTGCACGTTCTTTCCTCATTGGAAGATTTTCAGGATCCTGCTGAATAATGTTAGACTGTGCAGGACAATCGAGAGACTACGAAATTTCATGTGCCTGGCTGTGGCTCTTCTCCCATTCCTCTCTGAGGTTTGAACCAGACTAAAACATAGGAACTTATTTTAAGCGTGACCTTTCCGGACAACTCAGATCACAAAGATTTTTCTCAAAAAGAAAAGGAGTACTTGTGGCACCTTAGAGACTAACCAATTTATTTGAGCATGAGCTTTCGTGAGCTACAGCTCACTTCATCAGATGAGGTGAGCTGTAGCTCACGAAAGCTCATGCTCAAATAAATTGGTTAGTCTCTAAGGTGCCACAAGTACTCCTTTTCTTTTTGCGAATACAGACTAACACGGCTGTTCCTCTGAAACCAAAGATTTTTCTGTTACTTTAGCCTGGGATAGATTTGAAATTATGTCCTGGAAGTGAAAGACTAGAGAACGAATCAAGAAGATTAAGCTACTAAATGCAAGTTTTCCACAGGAGATCAGAAATAAATGCAAAAGGCCCATCTGTCTTCTCCAGTGAAATTTTCAAATCTTTGTTGAAATTATTTTTCATGTTAACAATTTAAAAAGAGAATGCCTGGCATTAAACTAGTTTATTAGCGAATAGGTCATCATTCAGTTTCCTTACTGCAGGACTAGCAAGCATTGGAATGGCTCAGTAGGTCAGCAGGAAAAGTATCCGAAGCCACGTAGAGTCTCTTCATTTTCTTTGTTTATTTACATAAATGTTTATAAAACATTTTCGAAGGGGAAGATGTTTTATAAACTAGGAAAGAAGATGTTTCTTACTGCTGTCACCTAAGAAATATAATAGCCATCTAGACACAATGTCAACATTTCAGCAATGAAAGTTTGCAGAAACCGGTAGTGCTGGAGGAAGTGAAAACCTTAAAAAGATCGTATCCTCACCATTTACAGTAGTTAGTTACAAGATCCTGGATTAGTGTTTTCCCCTTTATAAATTCAGGGTAGAATGCAGCATTTTTAGGTTACACCTTCTGTATGCAGCAATATGACGCAGCACCTTTAAGGCAGCTTAACAGCCGGCATAACAATATTTCTAACAGCATGTGAATGAGTCATTCATACAATAGATTTAAAAGTAGCTAGATACTGTCTCCCGCAGACTATCATAGGTATTAATGTCTTATGTGTCTTATACCTGCAACAAAGCCTGCACTGAGGAGCGAAAACGATCTTGTCCTGGCAAAGCCAGTAGTAAGCAGGCAGGGCCTTGTTTGCAGTGGTGCTCTGCACCTGCAGCTCTCCAGCTGGAGTAATGGGTGCTAATCGCTTCTGGAAATCAGTCAAATCCGTAGCCTCTTGGGGCTCCTCAGATCTCTTGGCAGGATGAGACTTGTTAGTCCTTTTGAAAATATATGAACAATAAAACTAAAACTGTCAGAAACCTCACTTGCTATGGGTTTAAATTCTTCCCTTGTGACTCCAAGTTCAGCCTAGGAAGGGGCTTCTTTGAACTCTTAGCAGTGTTATAACTAAGGCCCTTTTCCATTTTTTTCTGCTTACATTTTGTGGGTTGTGAGTTCAGTTTGTATGCAAATGCATAGTTATATATCTGTGCACAGAGCTTAACCTACTCAACTGGGCAGTGTCACCCACAGAGCATCCAAATCACAGAGCTAGAGAAATACTAATTTAAAGATGGGGTTCTTGGAAGTTCCTAGGGGTATAGAGATGGGGGCGGGGCGGTGGAATTCCCCTGCAGATCTGGACACTTAGACCACATTTTCAAACTCAGTTGCCTAATGTGAGGTCTACAGATCCATATTTAGGCAATTTCAGATTTGCTGAGGAACCCCACTAACCTTGCTGGGAGCTGCAGCTGCTTAGCATCTCTGAAAATCAAGCCACTTATTTAAGTGCCCATATATAAATGTGCTGCTTAACTAGGCTCCTACGTTTGAAAATGTTGGCCTCAAACTCCTTGAGAACCTAGCCAATTTAGTTACCTTGATTTACCCTTCTGGTTTGTGACCTACATAAACCAGGTTCCTAGATATCACATCTGAACTGGCAGGCACCTACAAAAAGGGCATTTTAATGTCTAGACAAAAATTTCTGGAAACTCTGACAAAAGGGAGAAAATCAAAACAAGCCAGGAGCCTGACCATCCTTAAACAAACATGATGTCTGATCACCTTAGAAGGAGCTGCCTCTGTTCTAACTCTGCATCTAAGTTTAATGTAAAAAACTAAATTACTCCACGGGAAAAGCCTAGACTTCTTATCAGGGCACCAGAGACACCTTCCTGTTGGGGCTGCTGCAAAGCTGGTATCAGCTAGGACATTGCAGACACATAGGATGCAGTCTTTCCTGTTCACAAATGTGGCATGCAGAAGGCACAGTATTGACCTGACCAGGACTAATTCATCTGTGATAGTTAATGCCTTTCTGTCACCTTTCAATTCCGTGCACATTTCTAATTCTGCCCGAATGCCAAAAGATCAGAGACAATTCAACCCAAAAAGCTGTGGATGGAAGTTCATTGGTGCAGGTGATGCCCTGCATTTGGAAAACCAAGTCTTATGAAGAGCACTAAGTTTTGTCTGCTCTGGCTAATTGCCCCAGCAACTTTTGTTTGTCAGTCATCTTGTTTTTCCTGGGTTGGCATTTTTGGGGCTGAATACCACTGGGAGTTGGGATTTGCAGCAACTCTCACTGCTCCTTACAAGAGTTTTGCCTGCAGCAGTCACATAGTTGAAAACTCTAGATACATGTGACTGCTAAGAGACCAATGAGAAGCCAAGCACGTCGCACTCATGGCCATTTTGCAATTCCACCTCATTAGACATGTTTTGGGGCTTATGAGTGTGCTGTGAGGATAAATAAGTATAAATATTATATTTGCCTTCAGGTTATCTTTAAAAATGTATCTCTCTCTCTTTTTTTTTTTTTTCTTCCAATTTTCAGTGTAGTCTGTCAGTTCCTGGTTAGGTGAGTTACCAACTTAGTGGTCTCACAGTACAGTGGACCAACATAAGGTATTATCTCATAAAGGGCTGCCTTGTGCTGCCAATTACCCAAGATTCCAGCAAGGAAAATATACAGCGACATGATTAAGTCAATGTGCGAGTGGAAATTCACATTTTCCCCTGAAACTACTTTTGGAAAATGAAACTATTGAAAAGAATTTTCAACTTGTCCTAGCACTTCAAATTCAACATGTGAAATAAATTGGGCCTTGATGCCATTGTCCTATGTGACAGGGTTGGGCCAGATGGGTACAGGAGAGTGATAGAAGGCAGATATATTAGCCTTATATTAGAACAATCAGGAACGTTCTGGAAACAGTTAAGGCAGACAGGCTGATTAGGACACCAATCAGCCAATCAAGAAGCTGCTAGAATCAATTAAGGCAGGCTAATCAGGGCACCTGGGTTTAAAAAGGAGCTCACTTCAGTTTGTGGTGTGCGTGCGAGGAGCTGGGAGCAAGAGGCGCAAGAAGCTGGGAACGAGAGGAGGTGCTGCTGGAAGACTGAGAAGTACAAGCATCATCAGACATCAGGAGGAAGGTCCTGTGGTGAGAATAAAGAAGGTGTTGGGAGGACGCCATGGGGAAGTAGTCTAGGGAGTGTTGCTGTCATGCAACTGTTACAGGAGCTATTGTAGACAGCTGCAATCCATAGGGCCCTGGGCTGGAACTCGGAGTAGAGGGCGGGCCTGGGTTCCCTCCACCCACCAAAACTCCCTACTTGCTACCGGAGGAGTTGAACTGGACTGTGGGTTCCACCAGAGGGGAAGGTCTCTGGCCTGTTCCCCGATCCACTAGGTGGATCAGCAGAGACTGCGGGGATTGTTGTTCTTCCTTTCCCCTTGCTGGCCAGTGATGAGGCTAACTGAGTGAACGGCAGATTTGAGCCACGATAGTGGCCAAACTGAGGGCTGCCGTGAACCTCTGAGGCGAGAAAATCCGCCAATAAGCTAGGACCCACCAAGTCAGAGGAGGAACTTTGTCACACTTTCTTATCATCTAAACAGCTCTGGGAGAGAATTATCAGGAAGCTGGAGCAGGAGGGAGGTGCTGCAGAGAGTCACTTGGTTAAGTACACATCACAATTCAACCTGTTGCTCAGAGGCTGTTCTTTCTCACACAGAGGGGAAAAAATTACAGTACTTTATTTTATTTTTGAGGAAAAAGGACTCTGGGCCCGATTCCTAGGGCTGTAATCAGCAATAGCTACAGTGAAGTCAAAGAGCTGCACTGGTTTACACCAGTTGAGGGTTTGGCCCTCTGTCATCTGTTTTTGCAGGTCAAATGTTTGGCCGCTCTGGAGCTGGGTTGCAGGACCTGATTCTGATTTCACAGCAATTTTACACCAGTTCAAATCCACTGATGCCAATGTGGTTTGTCCTGATTTACACCAGTGTAACTAAGAGTGGAACCAGTATTTACAATTCACTCTGAAAGCAGAGTGCCGGTTAGTTTAGTCAACAAGAAGTGTGTCTTACATCCCTTTCATATTCTTCCTCAGTCTTACTTTCTTCCTGAGGGTTTTGAAGTCTGAGTGAAAGAAACCAGTCTTAAGCAGCTCAAATCCATCTCTTGTCCCAGGCTCCTATAAAATGCCCAAAGGAACAAATGAATTTTGGGTTTGCCTGTACTGAGATTAATTTTGCTTTATATTTTCAGAAATTGCTTGTAAAAATTGAGATTTACATGAGCCTTTTTACCTGACTAATGGAATGTCCTTACTCTCAGATTGGAGACTGGTAAGGCAAGTCTGCCATAAAAACTGAAGAAAGATCTTCAGAAAACAGCTGCTTCACGGGAGGTCTCCTGACCACAGAAAGCAGATTAATGGAGTTCCCAGCATTTCGTTAATATAAAAAGGCCACTCCAGCAGATCTCCCATGCCCCTCTAGCTGCACAGGCATCCATCCCAAAGAATAGTGATCCAATTGCACTGCATACTTGCTCTCACTTGGGCTTCCTAACTCATAACAGTTTTGGAGGAATGGTCCATCTGTTTTTGCATTTGCAGTAGAATCAAATGACAGTAACTCATGGTCTTTTATTTGTGATTTTCCCTGAAGTGGTTTTGCTGTCCTGTCTCCTGTGGGTACTTACTGGATGCTGCCTTCAGACAGGTTTGCAATATTCCCCTTGAATTTAGATTACCTTTCTCAGTTGTAATAAACAAACCATCCATTCCTTCCTCTTGGAACTGAAAGCAAAGCTTTACTGAAACGGTATTCCTCCATATTAAGCAAAAATCCAGCCTGGAACAAGTAAACAAAAGGACAGTGATAACATGTAAAAGAGCTTTCACATTATTTGTCCAATGCAATTAACTTCTCGTTCCCCAAATGTAGCATTATTCTTTTCCCATTGTGTCTTTATCTCACCCCTTCACTTAAATTTGAATTTCAACCATACTCCTATTAAAAAAATCATCTACAGCAGCATCTCTTCTTGTAGACTTGCTGGGTCCTGCACAGCACCCACAAAGACATATTTAAGTGGCTTTGTCTGAAAATATATTATACTCAGAGATATCTCATTGGGGTCAAGACAATTATTTTAAGATTCCCTGAATCAGCACAGTAGTTTGTTTTAGAAAGTACATAATAGTTGGAGTCACATGCAAAACAAGGTAATATATCTCTAAATAAGTTATTTTATACTAACATCCATATTGATTATTAGGAGTTAGTGTTGTATTTAAGGCAGTAAAACTGAAAAAATATTAGAGTAAAACTGGACTAAATCTCCAGAACTTCCTGAGCAAATTGCTAGAATATTTTTGTGGAATTTCTGGTATCCCAAGAGCTCTGTCTCTCACAGAACAGATTTCACAGATGCCTATCAGACAGAACAATGGGACAGCTTGAGTTTGGGAGGATCGCCTCTTAACTACGTTATCTTATACCCTGATCTTATTGTTTTAAAATATTTAATGTTCTCCGATGTCACCAGTCATGTCAATCTTACCATACATGAACATGAGGGGTTAATCTCACCCAACCAATGGTGATAAATTTCTCCCTAACCTTCTGATTCTCTGCTATCTGGTACCTGGAGGCAGAGGCGGATTAAGCTTTTTGGGGCCCTGGGCCAGAACAAGTGGGGGCCCCTGCCCCTTCCCCCACGCCCCTGCCAGGGAAATGGGGTTGGGGCACGGGGGCTTGCCCTGCCCCCCCACCTGGCACTCCTGCTTCCTGACCCCACTCCCCGGCAGGAGTGCCGGGTGGAGCATGGTGGGGTGCGGGGGTGCCCATTTTTCTGAGGCCCCCCAATTGGCTGGGGCCCCTGGGCACAGGCCCCGTTGGCCCAGTGGCTAATCCGCCACTCCTGGATTCATCATTTTACAGCTGTGCGAAGTGAGTCTATAAGTCAGTCAATGGTTGTACATGATACTTCGGTGCAAATGATGATACATGTGGCAGGCAGTGGGCAATCTGCGCCATAAAGGTTCTTCTGCTGCTCTGGCGATGTTATGTGACACGAGAGAGGTAATCCTGGTTCTATCAGCACAGCAGCCACCTAGTTCAACAGGTCCGTTAAAATGCATTTACTGCACCTGCCGGCAGTTCTGCACCCATTTCACGGGTACAACTTTAAATGCTGCAGGAGATGATGCAGTACTAATTACATCTCATCCACGAATTACTTTACTCCAAAGCCTGTTCTGTACTGTATAGGGTACTGTGGCCGCAGAATAACACAGCCTTCCACTTCAGAGATAGTGCTTTTACTGGTAGGTCGTGCAGCTCCCAGGAGAGGCTCTCTGTTGGCGGGCTTAGGGTCTGTCTACCCTGCAGCTTGCGTAGAGCCCGCATCAATCTGTCTCGCTTGGGTGCTGGAGCGGTAGCCTGCGCTTCCTGCAGGCTAGCCGCCTGAATAATTACCCTGTGGGCCAGGTGGGATTGTGCTGCCCATGCTGAAGCCCATGCTGTGATGGCTCACCTGCTACGGGTACCCGAGTTTGCTAAATTAAAGCTAGCTTGAATATGTCTAAACGAGTCTGCAGTCATGGCTGCAGTGTAGACAGACCCCACCCTATAAATGCCTGCCTGTGTGCCGGTGATGGGGATAAAGGTCAGGCAGATTAAGTGTTTTGGTCCTACTTTTTGCGGTTGACAGATCATCACGAAGGCAAGCAAGAGGGTATTCAGGCACTTCATATCAGTTCCTGATGGCTTGGTACTTGTGTTTTAGTGGCTAGAGCAGAGGACAGGGGCCTGAATAGCATCTCTCCCTGGTTTTATTCCAGTGTGAAGGAACTGAATTCAGTGGTTAATCCAGATTTACACAGGGGTAAAGAAGATCACAGTCAGAGCCTGTGGGGGCCTATTCCCAGCCCAACCACTGGCTCGCTGTAAGACTTTGGGCTCTTTACTTCATTCTCTTTGCCTCAGTCTGTCTAGCTGCAAAATAAGGTTTAAAATGCTGGCCTACCTTGCGGGGTGCAAAGCACTTTGAGATTCTCTAATGAATGGTGCTATGTGAGTGCACCACATTGCTATGTAGTAGGTAGCTATATAATATATATATATCTTGTCCATGTTAAATCAAGCATTGCCTTTTCTGGCTCCTCTCCTGCTACTGAATCAGATAACATTGCAGATCATTTTTCCAAATCACTCTTTGCAGATTACAATAACACAGAGATTTTAGCGGACAGCTGGCTATAGGGAGCCTGAAATTCATGGGTTGGTCTTTTGTGCCAGTGACACCAAAGGAGAAATAGCATCTGCATAGTGCTACAGCAGCAATTCCTTCATGGCAGAAAACAATGCTAGGGTTTGCATAAATTACATCACTGAGCCAACAGAGAGATGTCTCCAGGATGTGACTCCAGGAAGCCCCTCCCTTCCTCTAAATATTCAAATTCTAGGCAAGTGGTGAAGCTTCTTGGTTCACATAGTGCTGGAATTTGGGCCTTCTGCAGTTTCTGTCCTTAAAATCCTTGGCATCAAATACCAACTCCCTTCCCAGAGGCAAGGTGGGGTTTATTCCTCATGGCATATTTCTACGTTTGTTTTTACATATTGATGACTAGACTGTGCCAGTCACCGGAATTTCCAGCCAGATGGTATTCCAGACTTGGTTGCTTTGTGCTTCAATTCTTCTCATTTTCTTCTGATCTATTATCATCTATTGATCAGCACTCATTTGGAGGACAGCTGTAGACTCTGCTGTATCTCTAATGTACCACAAGGGGGCTGTCTTTTAGGTCCAAACTGGCAGCTGTTTATGTTGTTTTCCTAATAGTTAGCTATATACTACCTAGCTGAATGTGTGTTTAGTGGGGCATGCAGAATGCCGGAGTATTGCTGAAGTTCAGACCCTCCAGTGAGGATACGTTAATCTGCGCAGTTGCTTTGTTGCATCTGGGACTTTTATACTTCGATTGCGAGCGCTTTGGCGTGGGCCCATCTCTCTGTTGTATATGAGTACCATGCCTAGCACTGGACCATGACTTGGATTCTTAGGTGCTATGGCAATATAAATAACAAATCGTTATAAAGTATCTGACATAAGTGTGATTCTATGCTCTGTAGTGCTGACTGGAATATGCAAGGCACTCAGCACAGCGTCTGGGAGGGGCAAAAAATTCCTTTTGTCACCCTCCGTGAGCTTTCCAGTTGTTCCTGGATGGTCAGTGTCTACTGGAAGGTTTTGACAAAGCCAGCTAGAATAAAGCAGATGTGTAGGATCATGAGCATTTAAATGAAGGAACATCATCCATGCTTAGAAATAGCATTCTCTCCCTCCCATCCCCCTCCACACACTTATTATTAAAAGTGACATGGTGCAGATAGACTGTGCACACACTAATTATCAATAGTGCTGCTAGCAGAGACAGCACTGAGTGCGGAAACTAAATGGTAGCACTTGAGAAACAATATGAGTCCTCAATGACAAACTTTAACGGTTTAGACACCTGCTTTGATTTTCTTCTATCCATTAATACTCACCCTCCTGGGGGTTCAAGGGTGTCTAAGAAGCATCAGGGTGAGAGAGGCACCCTTCTAGGTAGACAGGACCCAAAGCAACTAGGAATTTATTTGGCAAATCCTAAACACCAAATCCAGACCAGCTACACCAATACAACAACCAAGATTTGTTCCGGAGGAAACTAGTGTTTCCGAATCTGTTTAATAGCAATAGAGAAAATAAGGAATTTGTGTACATGAAGCCTTAGCCTCCGAGAGCACTGGCCTAATCTCCATACAACGCTAATGTATACAGAGTAAAGTAATAAATAATCTCCCTGATTATTCAAGGCACAATATACTGGGAGGAATTAATTATTGCTGCGAAACATGGATGAAACGATCCTTTTATGGGACAGACAAGAATTATGAGTCTGCAGACTCAATAAATAAGTGAAGTTCCCACCAGAACTGGAAAAAATCGTTTTCAACTTTTCATGGACAAACACTGTACTGGAAGGCTTCGTACGTTTCTTTTATAATAGTGAACATAGTGACTTCACTTAGTGCCCTGATACAAGAGGGCTGTAATGGACTCCTGTGTGGCCCATTGCTAGGAATAAGATGTTTGGTGTAGTGAAAATCCACATCTAGGAGCCATTTGTATGTATAACAGATGTTGAGTCCTGTGGTGAAAGGATGATGTACATCCTATTTATGGCCAAAATGGTCGCTTGTCTCCTAGCCCTACAAGTGTTCTTGCTATTTTAGCTATCGTCTGAATCAGTTTTATTCAGCTGGTAGAGGAGCATTGTTCAGACCAACAGTGGAAGGATGTGATGATCTTTTTCCAAATCAGACAGAAGGAGGTGAAACCCAAGAGGCAGCCTGTATAATTTACAAAGTTTGCTGCTATATGCTTGACATAGTATGGACTTAGTGCAGACCAATCAGATTATAGAATCATAGAATATCAGGGGTGGAAGGGACCTCAGGAGGTCATCTAGTCCAACCCCCTGCTCAAAGCAGGACCAATCCCCAACTAAATCTTAATTATCTTTGTTCTGAGACCACATGAACGGCATCCACTAGCTACTTACAGTGTGTTCAGATATCAAGGACTAGTCTCAGGCTTCGCAACTTCTTAAGAAAGTTCGTTTCTTTGCAAGTCCCTGTAGTGAAATAAATTAATTGAGTGGTTTGGATATGAGAATGACTGGCCTATAGAAACCTTTCTGGTGTTTCATTATAACGCAGCCACATTTACTATAGAATATTATCCAGCTTCATGCTGCTGGGGAGCCAGAACAACCCACATTGAGAGGTGATTTCACTGACTG